AGAAAGTGGTTATTTATTATTCAACAGCGTATTCTGATGCTACATTAATCAACATAAATTAAAAAGCAAAATACCATCAGGGCCACGGGCCATCAAAGTGAAGAATATGTTGTCGAGTTTTTCCATCTTCTTGGCATCCTGTGCCTGGTCAGTCTTGAACTTAAGACACTGGAAAACAGGGAGAAAACAAAAGGAAAAAAAGAGGAAATTAGTAGACCTAAAACATCTCGATATTGAAATTTTTATGATTCGACATGTGCCGTTATGCCAATTGGTTACTTCCAGAGTGTTCATTTCAATAGAAGATCATTTGACTTGTCCAGTTTGTCACAAGGGTACAAGCATATATACAGAAAATTCCCCATTCAAGCAAGCATCAAAGTATGAACTTACCAATCAGATTCTTAGTTGATAAGTTGCACCCATGCACCTTGCAGTAATTAGCTTTCATTTTTTCCACGTGAGAAGGAAAAGAAAACCATTTCTAGCATGGTAACAAACACTCTCACATTCTAATCTTCCGTAGAATGATTATGAAAGATAACTTCAGCCAATATAAGCGTAACAGCCAAAACTCAAGCCCACCGCTAGCAGATATTGTCCTCTTTAAAACGAGAAACGATGCGGTTATAAAGAATGTTTGCTAGGGAGAAGTTAAAGTTTTTACACCCTTATAAAGAATGTTTCATTCTCTTCTCCAACCGATGCGGCATCTCACAATAAGAAACCAAATGAATCGATGAAAGATTTGGTTTGGATTAATGGTTAGGTTTAAGACCTGATTTCTAAATTGCTAGTTGTTGGTTATTCAACTGTTGTCTACTCGACACTTTACAGAAGAATAAAGTGGAGAGACATAGCCTGAACGAAAACTTGTTCAGAAGTCTGCTTGGATACAAGTGCATCAAAGACTCAACACGCTTCTCCAAACATTTCCGTTTAATATTCATAAGGCTGAGAATTTGCCACATGAAACACAGAGCCAAGCATATAGTTGACAGTCAATAACAGAAATTCCCACCCCGATCACTGACCAAAAAAACACATGATGTTCATCAATATCTCAATAAACAATTCCTTACCTCACGGTTATCGGTGACTTTAAGAACCAGTTTCCCATCGCAGTGTCGATACTTTACGTTGTACCGCGTCTAAATATCCAGTAGGATTGAAAAAGAAAACGGTGGTCGCAGTTAGAAGGAATCGAAAAAACGAGAAACGATGCAAGAAACGGAACATATGAGTAGACGGTAAGTTCGCAATAGATGAATCAGAAATCTCTTCACAATTCATTATGCTCAATTCAAATCATTCAAGTCTGCAGCGATGACTAGCTCGATTTCATGTAATTCAAGAGTTAAAAATGCAATTGTAGAATCACAATACAATCATGCGATCTAATTTCTCATCTGTAATGTTGATTTCTCAGCAGCAACATCTACAGAAACGGATTTCGAAGTAAAAACTTACAGAATTAGGATCGGAGCGGAACAATTGCACAGAACGCTCAACGAATTCGTCCCAGGAAGCTATGTAGACCATGGCTCGGCGGCAGAGGCGAAGGAGAGGTAGAGCCCGGGAAATTTGGCGAGCGTGCGAACAATAAGTAATAAATAAATAAATAAATAATATATAATAAATAATATTTTATTTATTTCTTTTACTGTCAGTGTCATCAGCTGGAGGCTGTCTCGAGACGAGACTCCCGTTTTCTCTGTCGCTACACTCGTGAATTCTCTCCTCGCCGGCGCTTGATCGCAGTTGAAGTTTTACAGCAACGGCAATGGCCTCTGTTCAGCCAACTCCATATGCCTTCTCTGAAACTCCCATCCTATCCCGTTTCAGACCCGCCTCCCATTCCATTTACGCCACTTTACGGCCATGGCGGGAGCTTCTCCAGCCGCCGTCGTCCTTCACCCGCCCTTCATCCATTTCCGAAGCGACCATTCGATGTAAGCGCAATCTCAACTACTTTCGTGTTAATTACACCTTCATCGTCTTGCTCATTCTCTTTCTCAGCCTCCTCTGGCACCCTGTTTCCTTGATTGTCTTCTTGATCGTGTTCGTTGCCTGGTTCTTCCTTTATTTTTTCACGGATGGTCCATTGGTGGTGTATAATCGTGTTGTTGATGATCGAGTCGTGTTGGCTGTGCTTGGATTGGTCACGATTGTCGCTTTGGTGTACACGGATGTGTCGTTGAACGTATTGATTTCGGTTTTGATTGGGGTTTTTCTTGTTTTGATACATGCCGCCTTTAGGGTTACAGAGGATTTGTATATTGACGAGCAAGAAGTCGCCGATGGCGGTATGCTTTCGGTTGTTGGCAGCAGATAAATCCCCGGTTCATAGTTTCTAGGTTACCAATGATGATCTTGCCTTGTCCGATCCAAGTTCTTCGTGCCACGATTCCAATGAGTATTAGATATCAATCTTTTCTCTCTAGCTATCACTTGGAGATCCGGTTTGATACCACTGATTATTTTAGGATGATTCTTTTATTACCAATTAAGTTTGAATGAGCATTTGGGTGTGATTTTCTGCAATGTTTTGGGTTTGAAGTGTTCTTTACTTTTGGAAAGATGGAATTTCAAACAGTAGATATCAATGTTGGGTTTGAATGTCCTGTTAATGTATACACTGTCTGTCTGCCATTTCATGTTGTTACTGTGGCGTTCTTTCTCTTCATCATGTTGGAAAATTTCTGGGTATGTTTGTTGATTCATGTGAACTATAATGGTGTGTTCCTGGCTCCAAATTTAGTCTCATCATTTGCTCTAAATTGTATGTTGTTGATTGTGATGATTCAAGTTGATTGTGAAGAGTAAGTACTAGATAGCATAAGATGAGTGCTTTCAAAATTTTGGAGCGATGATGCTGAGATTTAATTTGTGTGCTAGATTGTTAGTTGTTTTTTGTTCTTAGGTTTCAAAACGCTATGGTTTGACAGTTTTTTATCGGATATTCTATGAGATCTCATGTTGGTTGGAGAGGGGAACAAAATATTTTCTTACAAGGGTGTGGAAACCTCTCCCTAGCAAGCGTGTTTTAAAAACTTTGAGGGGAAGTCCGAAAGGGAAGGCCCAAAGAGGACAATGAGTGTTAGTGGTGGGTTTAGGCTGTTACAAATGGTATCAGAGCTAGACACGGGGCGATGTGCCAGCGAGGAGGTTGAACCCCAAAGGAGGTGGACACCAAACGGTGTGCCAGCTTAGGACGTTGGGCCCCAAAAGGGTAGATTAGGGGGTCCCACATCGATTAGAGTGAGGAATGAGTGCAAGCAAGGACGCCGGGCTCCAATAGGGGGGTGTGGATTGTGAGATCCCATATCAGTTGGAGAAAGGAACGAAAGATTCTTTATAAGGGTGTGGAATTCTCTTCCTAGCGAGGGAATGTTTGAAAGAGAATGCTCAAAGAAGATAATATCGGCTAGTAATAGGCTTAGATTTTTTTTTCTCTCTCTCTGTCAGTAGAACTAGAACTTGTGGTTCATCTTCCAAATGGTCCAACTTTGTGCATCTTTTTGATTCCCATGTGACAAAAGTTAAAACTGGTGGGTTATTTAGTTGTACACTGTCTATGCTTTTATCAGTGATTGCAAGTGAAGTTGTCTGAATTATCACATGGGGATTGTCTTAGTTGTGGGTCTTGTTTCTAATGCTAAAGCCCACTGCTAGTAGATATTGTCCGCTTTGACTCGTTACGTATCGTCGTCAGTCTCTCAATTTTAAAAACGTGTTGTTAGGAAGAGGTTTCCATTCTTTTATAAGAAATGTTTCATTCCTCTCTCCAACCAACGTGGGATCTCACAATCCATCCCCCTTTGGATGACAATCCATCTTCCTTACGCCAATCAACCTTGCTAGCACATTGCTCGGTGTCTGGCTTTGATACCATTTGTAACAGTCCAAGTCCACCAATATCTACTTTGGCCCGTTACGTATTGTCGTCAACCTCACAGTTAACATAGTCTGCTAGAGAGAGGTTTTCACACCCTTACAGAAAATGTTTCGTTTCTCTCTCTAACCAATGTGAGATCTCACATTTTATCACTCAGGATTTTAAATTTCATACTTTTAGGTCCAAGAATGTTCATTACGTTCTCACATCCGTGCTGCATTCTATGATATAACTAGTTTTTGTTTGGTGATTGTCTTAGCATAGTTGTCGTTTCTTATTTTCGATGCAACATGGGTTGCCTTCGGATGAGGGATGCTAAGGTAGCCTCAACCGTTGTGATTTTAAATTTTTTAGAGTTGTTTCTTGTTTTGCTTATCCATTTATGGTTGAGTTGTGGCATATTGAGCGCATTTGTTAGGTTGTTTTTATAAGGACCCAAGTCCACTGCTAGTATATATTATTCCTCGAAAAGTCTGAAAGGGTTTTCCCTTTCGGACTTTTCCTCGAAAATTTTAAAATGCATATGCTAGGGAGAGGCTTCCACACCCTTATAAAAGGTGTTTCGTTCTTCTCCCCAACTGATGTGAGATCTCATAGTTTTAGACTTTCTAAATCTTTAAAATTGTATGAGTTGATTCTTAGTTGTGTTTAGGTTTGAGGGATTGTGATGTTTTGTTAATCTTTTACATTCTTTCCAGAAATACCTTGCTTTCATCTTTGGCTATGAAGGAGTACTACTTATCTTTCATCTTTGTTTTGTTAATTTTTTTTTTGTGCCGTTAGATCTTAATAAATCTGCACCTTTGTCTTTGTATGCTCCACTCATTCTATTTACTATTATTCATTTGAGTCACATAAGTCAGAATCTACTAAACATAAAATTAAGATCTCGGAGATTTATTAGATATAAAATTGAAAAATATAATAATATTACAATCAATAGGAATGAGGTTATTTAATATCATAACGTTCTTTATTTTACTTTACATGAAAATAAAAATGAATCTTTTAATTAAAATTATAATGTCTGGATCATATTTGAGATTATGAGATTATGGTGCATTCATTTTCCAATAATTGTACATGGTAGCAAAAAAAAAAATGGTAAGATATTAAAAACATTACATGGCTGAAAAATGTATTGACTCAAGCATAAGCTATCATTGACTTCTTGTAACATATCAGAGTGTTACAACTTCCATATCCTCCCCAACAGACTTCAAGAATCGTCTCGTATTCGAGTAGTTCATAATATCTCAAAACCATGGAAACACTATGAGCGTAATGTTCAAGATCCAACGAGACCTTTGGATCGTGCATACGAGCTTAGTGACACATAAATGGTTGCACAAACTATTCCTGTCAGGATGACCACCTAAAGTCATGGGAAGGAGAAGATCAACAAGCATCAGACTGTATTCTTGATATGATTTTCCATTCAATTTTACTAAAAACACTTACCCATTTGAATACATGTTCATGATCTTCCTTCCAGGTATATGGGATATTCATTCCAAATATCGCAGTCACTAAAGAATAAATAGACAAACAAACAGTCCCAGAGCTCAAAAAGAGTTCAAGCTGCCACATAGAACATTACTTTTCTGAGAACTAAAAGAAAAAACATGATATAGTAGTTGCAGATGAATTTTTTGTGGCCAGAAATCAATGGCCACTTCAATTGCCAATACATGCACAATTATAAGCCAAAGAGAAAAATGTACCTGAATCAGTTGATTCCTGTGATTGTCAAGCTGCAACAGATGACCAGAGCATTTGATACAGAAACAAAAGTATATTGTAGTTTTCAACATTGCTAAGCATATTGAGGAGTAAAAATTACAAGAAAACGATATCAATGACATGATTGAGTATTAGATAGTCAAGGATGTTGAAGGATTACCTGAATATTGATGTAATCCTCTGTGTCATCAATGTATTCCCGCAACTGGTAAGGGAAGATGATTTCAAAATATATGAACAAAAATACCACATAATCAGAAAGTTTCATATACAAAATATCAGGATATGAACAGAAAGCAATTAGTTCATACCGTGATTAGTTTGTTTAATGTACCTTCTATCTGCATAAAATAAGCCTGCAGAGAGTTCATAATTAAGCTCCATTAGATCTTAATTTACTTGAAACTCTGTGAATTAGATGTTATAGTCTGTTCTTAAAGACATTGATCATACCTCGAGTAGCATTTCTAGTTCTTCAACATCATTCTCTCCTCGAAAAGTAATTGCACTTGCTCTACTTGTTTTAGACATCTTTGAATAGTCCTTAGGAGAAGCAAGAAACCAAATTGGAGTCCCAGAGCCGCTTTCAGGGGTGCCAGCTACTTTTCGTGACAAGTAAAGCTCCGCCATGTCGTCGTCGTCATCCAGAAGTTGTTCAAGTTCATCCCTAACCTAGAATGAGAATGGTGTAATATCATGGCGCCATGGAGATAAAGAAATTGCATCAGAAAAAAACATCAGTTGGCTACTACTACAAATCTTTACTTTTTCTGTTCTTTTGACAAGCAAATCGTTGAGGGATCTTGAGGGGACTAGTTGGCTCATACTTATGTCAAGAATGATAATTTATTTTGTTGCTTTCCAGCTCATTTTGGCTCTACCACAACAGGAACGTATAAAAATTTGGCAGTCCGATAATATTCACGAGAAATGTGAATTGCAAGCTGGGGTTTATGGAGTAAACTCGAATCAGTATAGCTTCGCTAGCAGGGGCATACGAACAAAAGGTTCAAGATCTAGCACCGCAACTGCCGGTGCAGAAAGACTCCGAGACTTTGTGGGAAAACTGGTTTCCAAAAGAAGAATACACAAACCCCAAGCGCTGGAGTTAAATCGTATAAGCCATCGGGTCAGCAGAATTGTTGACCGATAGTTGTAATTAAAGATCCAGCATATGGAACCCGAGATATAAAAGAATGAACGTGTAATAAAAAAACTACTGGTACTTCATTAATTATTTTCTACTTCTCCTGAGAATTGAAAGTAGCAAGTACCATGAAGCTCAACCTATATACCATCCTAGAGTAGTATCAAACTCCTAGCCAAGCAGTGCAACTTCGCTTTGCTGTTAGCTTGTATCTTTTAAGTTGTAAATATTTAGTTGAAGACTCAAGAGAAGTGAGACGATCTACCTTTTGCACCCGATTTGTCAACCTTGTCATTGCACTCTTCAGCTTGCGCACTCGATCCAAGTTACGACTGCTAATCTGCATATAAATTCAAATTTCTTTGATTCATAAGAAAGGGATACTGATAGCCACTAATAGGCAATCATGTAAAGACATTAGTGCGGTTCCTAATTCAAATCAAACATTAGATGGGGGTAGTAAACATTTGTATCTGTACGTTTGAAGAAAATCATTTTTTTATGATACAGCTTGACTAGTACAAGAACATGGTTAGCAACAAAGTTATTCACCCAAAAGCATAATCGAAAACTTTTTAGTTAGCTTTTTTTGAAGACTTAATGACAAATGCAGTATTACTTTGATGAGGTTTGTAACCAAAAGTTAACATTGAATTTGATTAAATATGACTAGTCCCTTTACTAGAGAAATATAAGATGGTATGGAAAGATTATACACATAAAAGTCCCTTGAAGATAATTATCATGATGAAAAAGTTCTGTTTCTTTTAATGGAAATACATTTTATCTGGACATTTGTTCATCAAATCCACTAATAAACTAAATGCTTTCATCAAATCCAATAAGAACTTGAGATGAATAAGGAAGTTAAAAAAAGACAAAGAAATTCAATAAGAACATCCAACGCTTTTTAAAGCTCAAAAAAGAAAGGAGGAAGTGGATCATAGATCCGTGAAAGTTTATCTCTGTTTCATTGGATCAACTAAATGGATATGCACTGAGGGAGCAGAATTAAACAAGCTTCACCTTGGAGGTCAGCTCATCTAAAGCAGGATACGCATCAGTCTCCAGTTCTCTTGTGCGTGCATCAAGAAAACTACAAATTGCTTCTAATGCAACCTCTAAGGCACGAAACTCAAATGGAAATTCTGCATTGAATGACACAACTCTTAAAAGGGAAGAAAGAAATTTCAAACAACTATTTAAAATATACAATATTTTCAAGCAATGAAAACTATCTTTCCAAATATGGCATCATTGAATACAAGGGGAAAAACCCATGAAAGAATACTTGACCAAGATGTACCGTTTTCAGCCAACTCATTTTGGGTGGTGGAAGGCTCTTCTTCTTCCCCTTGTCCTTGGTATAGGGAATTTGTGGAAGGCAACCGTCTCTGCAATTCTTCAACAATTGGAACTACATTTTCATCCATTGGGTCTCTAAGCAGCACCTATAAAGACAAATAGTAAAAATTGAACCAAGAAAAAGAGTTTGAGTTCTTCTTTTAGCTCTCCTCTCATACGTCTTGGTTTGTCAATTTGATTCATCCTTTGAACAGTCTAAGCACATAAATACTTCCATTATAATAGTCAACTTGAAACCTTTTTGGGACTATTAAACCCCAAAAAGGGGTTTGGAAAAAGAATCCATTATAAGATAAACAGAGTAAAACAAGAATTAGGCTAAATAAACCCAACAAAATAAACAGTTTAAGGAAAGATTAATTAATGAGCAGTTAATTAATCAAGAAAAGGATAAACAAATTATTACCTCGTCTGCAGTGATTATTGACTTGATGTGCTGGACCAAATCCCAGAGCGATACCAGAATCAAAATCAGTATAATAATACCAACAAATTACAAATGTATTTTAAGAAAGTTAGATCAGCAGAATTTCACAAGAAGAATCAATCTCCAGTAAGTTTACCTCCAAATTGAGAACAATCACGCTTTCTCTCCCTAAGATAGTGGAAGGATACGACAACAGAGGATCAAGAAGCCGAAGATCTCTCGCATTAATCTGAACTCTCTGCATAATCGCATACTTATCCACGTCCAAAACCGTAGTCCTTCCTTCATGGTCCAACGAAACCCAGCTCCTGGAAACTACAGTATTCTTCTTCTTCGTCGTCGTCGTCGCCGTCTTCTTCTTCACCGAAACCACCTGAGATTCCACAGGGAATCCAAATCCATCTCCGGCCATCTCTAAAACAATATCGATTCCAAAACCATTGCTCTTCTTCGGAAACCAATGCTCAGTGAAAACACGTCGAAGAAAAAGAATCTGGAAATCTGCGGTGGTTTGGCGCGTGAATGATTCAACTCAATGACGAATTCGAGTTCAACAACGCCATGAAAAACAGATTCCGATTAGAAAATGTGAGGGGGAATAATGGGTTCAGTTAAGAGAAAGTTGGGGCAGAAAGTTTCAGAAAGAGGAAATGGGATTTTGTATGGGCTTTACTGGCTGATACACGCGAGTGGGGGCGAGGGGTGGTAGCCTCGAAAAAAGTTCAAATAATTACTGCCGCCTTTTCCCCCACTCGCGCCATATACCGCGTGTCGTTCACGCCATTTGTTTCGGTGATGGATATTCTGCGAGACAGACGGGGATGGGACGATATCTTATCGTTACTGCTCGTTAGCTTCATTCCTCCGACATGTCGTTTCAATTATCATCTCTGTCGCCCGTAAAGCGTCTCTTATAATTACGGATTTAAATTGAATTTTTATTTTCAATATGTTCGAATTTTTTAAATTAAATCATTTATTAGATATAAATTTGAATTTTCTTTTTTGTTTAATTCTTAAATAGACACAAAATTGAAAAATAAACTTGTAATTTAACTTCAATCACTATTTATCATTATTTTATTGTATTTATTTGTTATTAACATATTTTTTATTATTTTATTGTATTTTTTGAGTTACTTCGAAAACATTCCATCGTAATCGTAGTTGTTTAAAATTCCAACTCTTTCAAAATGTTTTATCTTAAAAAATAATAATAATAAAAATGAGGTGATACTTTAATGATATTTTTCCAGAACGTTGCAATGAAGACAAAACATTTTTTGAAACTTATTTTGTCTTTCTTTATTTTTTTAACCTATTCCCTTTCATATCTTTCAAATCCATGGGACCAAGGCTTCGAATAAGGCAAAGATCCTCGAGATCTAAGGAGGGAGTAGAGAAACCTTGTCCGTAAGACATCTCTACCTGTTTCACCCCCCAACTCGTCTTGTAGACATCTCTGCCTGTTTCATCCCTAAACCCATCTCGTAGACATCTCTCTGTCTGTTTCACCCCAAACCCGTCTCGTAGACATCTCATCTCTCTACTGTTTCACCTCAAACTTGTCTCGTAGACATCTCATCTCTCTACTGTTTCACCTCAAACTTGTCTCGTAGACATCTCTGCCTGTTTCACCCCCAACCCGTCTCATAGACATCACTGCATGTTTCACCTCCAACCCATCTCATAGACATCTCTGCATGTTTCACCTATAACTCGTCTCCTAGACATCTCAACATGTTTCACCTCCAACCCGTCTAGTAGACATCTCTGCCCGTTTCACCCCCAACCCGTCTGCCCGTTTCACCCCCAACCCGTCTCGTAGACATCTCTCTGCCTGTTTCTCTCCCTGTTTCACCCTCATCCTATCTCGTAGACATCTCCTGCCTGTTTCACCCCCAACCCCTCTCGTAGACATCTCTCCGTCTGTTTCACCCCCAACCCCTCTCGTAGACATCTCTACCTAATTGATATCATAGCTATAATAAATATGCATATCAGTGGTTAAAAATAATTTTCCTAAACATATAATCAATTCTTCCTTAGCCTTGATGACTTTTCAGACAGTCATTCTCATGAAAGAAAGAGCAAAATAATCAACATCAGAAAACATAATTTATAAGCTTAATTCTCAAAAACAAAAAAACCAACGGTTATCATAAGAGGTAGATATGAGCAACGTCGTTCAAAGAATCGCTTAATATCAAGTTCTAATCTTTTAACAAAAGAACAGACTCTTAATAAGTAAACAAGGTACAAACTTCAGACACTTTGCTGAAGTAACAGCTGATTGTAAGAACTAATAATAGAAGTGTCAAAACTGTAGCAATCCATTATGATTAAGCCTATGGATATCAAATCTAAGCATGCTGATAATGATGTAGCTTATACAATAATACCTTTCCAGCAGCATTTCCGACAGCCATGTAGCCTCCTTCGGGGCTGAAATCCAAGCATGACGGGTACTGAAGGTTCTTCTTCGGTGGCGGCCAGTTCGAAAATATGGTAAAAGAAGGAACGTGTATCAGCTTCAAACTACTTTTCTTCATCCTTGAACAGATTGCCAATATTTGAGCATCGTGATTGAACTTGAGAAAGTCTACTTTGGTGGTCAGATTCTCAATGGCCTTCAATGGCTTCTTCTTGCCCCCTAAGAATTCTTGTCTGTTGTAGATGTTAACGATACCACTGTCAGAACCCGCTGCAAACAACGCTCCATTAGGAGACGTACAAAGTGCTGTGCCATTGATGCAACCTTCGTCGACAGCCTTGTGGATGCACGTTCTTGTTCTCAAATCCCAGTGGTAGACCTGCCCGTCACCGCCAGAGCTCAGTAGCTGTCGTCCATCGTCGGCAAACGCCAAGGAACGAACAGTTCCATTCATCTTAAGCGTCCCGATGAGCTCCTTTGTTTTGGTCGACACTAACAGGATATAACCTTCATTACCTATGAATGCGACCGTGCTAGAATCAGGAGAAACTTCAAAAACTTCAAGGCTTTTCTCCTCTCTACCTACAAGAGGGCCTATTTTATCTACTTTTGCCTTCACTAGATCAAGGCTATAGAAGAATTTTCGCCTCCCAGATATGATGACCTGAGATCCATCAGGCAAAAATGATGCCTTTCGTATGGGGCAATCCTCGAGAAAAATGCTCTGAATTTTGGTATTCCGTTTCCCATCAATCTGAAAAAATCGAAGCTTCCGATCCAACCCAGTAGCTAGCAGTAACTGAGCATTGCGATGAAACTGAACGGAATGGATAGGACCATTAGATGGCTCCTGCGCGTTAGCATCAACAAGTCTCGAGTATTCAAGTAGACCAGGCAACAATTTAGCACCACTCTTCGCTACAAGATTCTCATTTGTTCTAAGGATATCGTCAATAGAATCGACATTATCGTAACCATCAGCCAATGCAACTGCATTTTCATCATCTGATGATAGATCATCATCATCATCACTGCCACTCCTGGATTGTGCATCAAGTTGAGCCCACTCGGTTCCAGGGTTTAGCTTGGCATGCTGAGCCCTCAGTCGCGACACGTACTCTGAACCCGAAATCGATTTCTCATCTTCTTCCTTCCTCAATTTTCTCAGTCTACTAACATTAGTAATATTAACTGAGGCCTTCTCCTCTTCCTCGTCGACCCATACCGGTTTTCTTTGCTGAGCTTCCTCCTTACTCGAACTCTCATCTAGGAGCCCAACATCATTTTCATACACGGAAAGGGAATTATTTGCAGAGCGGTCCATAATGTACAAAGCAGGAGCCTTTTCTTCAGCACTGAAATCATTTTTCTCTTCATCCTTCCCAAATTCAACAGGGGAATAGAGTGATCCAAAAAGAAAGTTTTCGAGCTTCTCCATTTCCTTTTGTTGTTCTTTTACTATTTGTTCATCTTCTTTTTTGTGTTCTTTCTTTCTCTTCTTTGACCGGGTAGTATCTACACCAGAGTTTTCTACATCACTAGCATCTACTTTTCTCAACAGAGATGAAGAGCCAACAGTATTATCCCCATTAACATTCTCAGTACTACTAATTACAGCAACATTTTGAGATATTAAACTCATCTTCCACTCAGCTCCTGCAAAACCAATCATATTAACAAGATAACAAAAAATGCATCAGAAGTAAAAAATCCCACGATCCATAAGCTCAATTTATCCCTTCATTGTAAATTGTGTACCCTTTTTGTCTTAATTTTTGAAAACAAATAGTTGAATTCTACATCACGGAAGAACAATAAGCCACATTCATCATGTCCGAATCAAAACAACGAACACAAACCGCGTCCCAATTTGGGGCAAGAATGTTTTTATTTTTTTCGTTAGAAAGACATACCAGTAACAACAAAGGAGTAGAAAATCAGCGCAAAACCAATAAGAGAGAGCTGCGCCGGAACGAACGGAAGAAAGAAATCCGCGGCGGAGGCACGAGCGGACAAGAACGACGGCGGCGGCGAAAGTAGGAACGGGAGAGAGGCGGAGGAGGAGACAGCGTGAAGAAGAATAAGTCAGCACAGAGGTTTTATTTTACACGGTGGTTAGGGTTTTCCTCTTTGTTTTATTTATTAATTTTATTTTATTTTACAAAGTGGGCTTGGGCTCAACTTTATTTTTCAATTGTTCTCACCAACCGTGTGAAAATTTCTCTCCCTATCAAATGCAATTTAAAACTTTGCACGAGCTATCCGTTGATTTGAGGTGTTATAAATAGTATCATAGCTAGATACCAGGCTGGTGTACCAGCAAGGACTCTAGGTCCTGAAGGGGTGGACGGTAAGATCCAACATCGATTGGAGAAGAGAACGAATGCCAGCAAAGACACTGGTTCTCAAATTTTAAACCTTTAATTTAGTGTCGATAGGGAGTATAAAACTATACAAAATGGTAAGTTTGATTGAGACGAGACTACATTAGTAAGGATTTGTAGCTCGAGAGAAATTGAAAAATTTTATAGGTAAGAAGTGTCATTTCAACCCGTGGGGACCTTCCTCAAACATGATGGAGAATCTCTGTTTAAACGGGAAATGGAGGAGGAAGCAAGGAGCAATTTCTCTACGTTAGTTAAACAGAACCGAAAACAGGACGGGAACAAAGATTATATTCTATTAATCACCATACAAATTTAAACACTTAAATAAAAAGTAGACCATATTGTATATATACAAACACTACACAAAGATACATAATTAATATTATACATTATGATTGATATATATATATATATATATATGCAAATCACACCAACCAATTAGCATGCCTTGCCCATATCAAAGGTGAAGTTAGTTCTTGGAGTTCTTGCATTTCTCTACAGCCCTTGGTGCTGATAAACCCCACCAAAAAAAAAAAAAAAAAAAACGTCCCAATATGTTAATGATATAAATTAGGACTTGTTTCGGGTAATGTTAACCTAAACATAACTCAAATGGTTAAAACAATATGTTCGATAAATTCAAATCTCTGCGTTCACCGATACTGAAAACACACAAATCTATCAATCTTACTAAGGTCAATGGCTTCCTTTCCTTTCATTATACGTAAACGTTTGCAAGATTCAACAAACATCTTGTATGGATATTGGGAGACGTATTATACTCGAGTTATTTCTTGCATGTTTCACGGTGGATTTAGCAAAAATTTGGTACGGTTTTACTTTTTAATCAAATCTTGAATTATAGTAGATTTTCACCATTGGAAGACTAAAATAAAATATTTAAAAATTCTAGATAATTATCACTTACTGCCATGGAACATCACCGACGAGCATCCAATCACCGTCCTTGTCTTGGTAGGTTGGAATGTAGTCCGAATCATTTAAAAGATCTATTAGTTTGCTTTCATTCATGAAGTCTTTCATCCCAACTGCTTGGGATCCACAGTGACCTAGAGTCGGGGAAAATGAAAAAAAAAAAAAAATCATTAAATTTCGTCTTATTTCTGTAAATTATGTTAAATTACACGTCTAGTTTCTAATATTTCGAGACCCGTTAAATACCAATGGTGAAGGCACCGAAGAATTTGGCTAGGGCATGGGAGAGTTGTTTGTAGCTGTTGTACATGGTCAAGTCGACTTTGCGAAGATAAGGTGCACCATCAAGGCTAACCTTCACCAACCTAGCTGCTCCGATATTTCCATTCTTATTCCTACTAATTAGCACCACCTCCTCGTTTTCTTCCTCGTTGCTACCCTTTCGGAGGGCCAGACTGTTTTTTCTGTACGACCTTATTGGTGGCCAACCTACCACTAGTGCCCTACAAAGCTCACAACAACAATATTACTCGACATTCTCGATCAACCCATAAGGTTAAGTAAGCACACGGGTTGTGTTAAAGTAATCTCGTTAAGGGACAGAGTTAGAGGTCTTATACGTAATCAAACCTCTATAATGCCATTTATCTTCCTCTAATTAGGGGTGCTTATATGACTTGATAATTCGATTAATTTGGACTCACTCAAGCAATAAAAATTGGGTTGGATTAGTTTTAAAATTATTATGAATATTTGATGTTTGTTACCTTATGACTTGTGATCATTTGATATTTGAATTTTATGAAATTTTAATTATTAATGTAATATGTATCGTGGACAAATATAAAATAACTAAAAAAAATAACCCAATCCAACCTAACCCGAAAATAGAGGGTTGGATTGAGTAATGAACTCTATTCGAGTTGCTCGGGTCATCAACTTAACCAACCTGAAATTTCGAGTTGGTTCAAAAAATTCTCTCAACTCAACTCAATCCAATCCGTATGCGTTCTGACCTCCAGTTAAGATCGTTTTCTACTTATTTAACGTTCTACAAACTTTTACGTCCACAAACTCTGGAAAGAACATTGAAGTATTGATATGTTCGGTTTACGGTAATCTATATGTTTAAGCTTTTCGATTCAGTGGTGATTTACGTTGTTGACCCTAAGAAAACGTTACTCGAACTCTAAAAGATGAAGTAGAACTTACTTGGGTAGGGGAGGCTTGTGATTTGTATTGTGAGATGAAATAATTGTTTCAGCAGCTGACTCCTCATGGAACCCTCTCTTCCTTGTCACTTCCGAACTCCCATTCTTTCCAGGCAACCCTAGCCTCAGCTCTGTCTCCTCAAACGACATCGTTTCCTTCGCTTTGAGAGCTTGGTGACTATGTCTGTTCTTGGTTGGAATGATAATAGTAAACAGACTGTATGTTGAGAGGGAGCCAGCAAAGCCCTTTTTGACCAATTTTGACACATTAAAGTTTAACCTAATTGTGTCGATAAAGGAATTAGAACCTTTGAATTTTAAGACTAACATGTCTATTTAGTCTCTGAACTTTTAAAATTATAGATTTAGTTTCGGAACTTTTATGGATCTACTTTGTGAGATCTCACATCAATTGGAGAGAGAAACGAATGTTAGTGAAGACGCTCACCCTGAAAATAGTGGATTTCGGTTGAAGAGGATAAAAGAACATTGTTTATAAGAGTATGGAAAACCCCTCCCTAGGAGACGCGTTTTAAAAACCTTGAGGGGAAACCTGAAAGGAAAGGCACAAAGAGGACAATATCTGCTAGCAATGAGCTTTGGTCACAATATCTGCTAGCGGTGAGCTTTGGTCACAATATCGGCTAGCGGTGAGCTTTGGTCACAATATCTACTAGCGGTGAGATTTGGACACAATATCTGCTAGCAGTGAGATTTTGGCACAATATCTGCTAGAGGTGAACTTTGGTCACAATATCCACTAGCGATGAGATTTGAGCACAATATCTATTAGTGGTGAGATTTGGGCACAATATCTGCTAGCAGTGAGATTTTAGCACAATATCTGCTAGCGGTGAGATTTGGGCACAATATTTGCTAGCAGTGAGATTTTGGCACAATATCTGCTAGCGGTGAGCTTTGGTCACAATATCTGCTAGCAATAAGATTTGAGCACAATATCTATTAGTGGTGAGATTTGGGCACAATATCTGCTAGTGGTGAGATTTGGGCACAATATCTGCTAGCAGTGAACAATATCTACTAGCAATGAGCTTGAGTTGTTACATACTTAATACAAATTAAAATTTAGATCGAGATGAGTGGTCGAACTATAGTTTTTCGAATTCAAATTTGCATAAATTGATGTAGCTCAATATCTTAAAGGCATGATGTTGATGGGTAGAATAAATTTAAATAGAGAAACTTTGGTGCATGTAATGAATATTAAGCCCACCAAACAATAATTGATATAAGGACAGGTATTGCATTGATGGGTGACAGGGAAAATATGTGGTTATACCAAAACTTCAAATTTAAGAATAGGCATGGCCCTTCATAATAATAATCATATACATACATCCAAACATATTATTATTCAAATTCTCATTCTCATGCACAGATAGAAGCAGCTTTCAAAACTTTAATCCCGATCATTAATTCTATGGATAATATCTCGATTGGTATAAAGTCATTTGAGTCATTCTTCAAGTCACGAGAACTTATGTCTAAAGCGGATAATATTATACTATTGTAGAGATAGGTAGAAGGTTGTTGTTCCTAACAAATGGTATCAAAGTTTTGCCTTTAACTTAGCTATATCGGAATTCTTAAAAGATGAGGCATAGTGGAGATCTATGGTTGAACTCTATCCTACCTGCGGGGTCTCTCGATAGGAATTTATAACAACCCAAGCCTACCACTAACAAATATCGTCTTTTTTGGGTTTTCCCTTCTGGACTTCCCTTCAAGGTTTTAATACGCGTGGGAGAGATTTCCACACCTTATAAGTACGGTTTCATTTCTCTTCCCAACTTCTAGGCTTCCCCCAAGGTTTTAAAACGCGTCCACTAGGGAGAGGTTCCAACCCTTATAAGGAATGATCGTTCCCTCTCCAACCGATATAAGATCTCATAATCCCACCCTCATTTGAGGCTAGCATCCTTGTTGGCACACCGCCTGGTGTCTGGCTCTAATACCATTTGTAACAACTTAAGCTCATCACTAACAGATATTATTCTCTTTGGGCTTTCCCTTCCGAGCTTCCCCTCAAAGTTTTAAAACGCGACCACTAGGGAGACGTATCCACATCCTTATAAGGAATGTTTCATTCCTCTCTCCAATCAATGTGGAATCTCACAGAATTAAACCAGTAGGTAATTATTTAAGAGGAGGCTCGTAGAGATGAGTGCACGGTCGGTAATACCTTCAGTCTTCCATGTTTTATCACATGCTATATAGATTTTGTAACAGTTTTAGTTGGCTGAGGTTCTTAGATTTATTGGCGAGCTCTTAGTTATTGCAAATTTACACACATTAACTTGTGTTTGAAACGTCCTTCAACTAAAGTGCTTCCTATACTCAAAACCAGTACAAAAATGTAGGCATGAGAGTGGAACCTTTTGAACCAGAAAGAACAAAACTTATATTAGCTAAAACACCAAGCAATATCATCCAGCTTCACTTGAATCGAATCAGGCAGAGGAAAGAAAGAACACACTTAAACAGAACTAAACTGACAGTCTTATTCAGCTAAAAGGAAAGAGAAATCTTTCAAGTATCATTTAAAGATGACTGTAAAACACTAGCAGGCTTCAGTGACAGAGCTAGCTGACCTCTTATTCCATCAAAAATTGATTAGGAGAGAGCAGATTTTAAGGATTTGGTGAAGCTTTCTAGTGCCTTCAATCCTTCTTCAGGAGTCTGGGCTTCTCCCAACAGCTTCACCATAGCACTACCAACTATGATTCCATCAGCCCCCCAGTTGGCCACCTATGGACGAACACGACAACATATTATCCAGAAAAAATGCAGGAGAAGTGAACTGTTTCGGTGTATGACGAAATTCTTTTACCTGTTTCACGTGCTCAGGTTTTGATATACCAAAACCTACTGCCACTGGTTTTTCTGTTGCCTGCCAAACAGAGTAGAGAGTGTGAGGCTTATGTTATTGATTGGTTTCAAAGTCATCAGCTTTCAAATTTGTAGCTATTACAAGTACATCCTAGATAGTTATTAAGACTGAAGAAGATGCACCTCTTTGATTTCCTCAAGGAGAGTTTGAACTCGATCACTCACTGATGTACGGGCACCGGTAACTCCTACGGAGCTCACCTATAATTGAACGAGAACAAATTTCATATTGCAAGTCGGACAGAGAAGGACATCGTAATTTGACTCTATCTCAATGGTAAATACAGGAAGTAACATAGAGAATAGCTGTAATTTACTATCTTCACCAAAAATTCTTGTTTTTTCAATGCAATCTATCATTCCGTTTGTGCATGGAAACAAAGCAATTAAAGCAATATGCTCCGACAAAACCGAAAACAATCTCTCTTCTCCCTACACAATTCTGTGGTTATTCTCTAACTAAACTCCATCAAAAAGAGGGTTCTGAAAATAATCGCATTGTTAAAATACCATTCTTAAAATTTATTTGAATATTGAATCCAGAAAAAAGAGAAAAAAAACCTAGTATTGTCATTTATGAGTGACATAGAAGCCTTAAAATGAGATGAAAAAGCTACAACTTATATGCATATAAAGAGACAAAAACAGAAAAAGGTCTTACAAGATACACAAATCCCTCTGAAGCTTCGACGATCGCTTTCATCCTATCTTTAGGCGTGGTTGGTGTAGTTAAGAGTACCTTTAGCAGCGTACAAAGTCCATAAGAACCAGCAAATATCTAGAAACAATACACTCTGCATGTTCTTCTGATTTCGTGAACAAAGCATTACCACACAAATGGATGATGTATAACAACAAATCATCCTATCTTTAGACAAACGAGTCATGAATTGGCTACTTTTTACCTTAATAATTTCATTCTACAGATAATGAAAAGAATGCAGGGAAGTACAGTTCAACAATCAAATAATTTTCAGTACTCAAGGCAACTGTTTTCCGCCTTAACAATCGTGATCAAGAAAACCGGATACTCTGCAGGTTCAACCAAGTAATAATATACTAATCTTCAGCACTGCATATTATGTCCCTAATTTACGTGTAGAATCAATGGGGAAGTAATCAAGATCTTTGGACTGTTCCATTTGCTAGGTCCATTTCAGAGGTTGTTTTTGCCACTATGTGCAATATCTTTAAGTAAAAATCATAAATAAATATCAAAAACCTAAAACTAATAATCAATTTAGATAATACAACCATTATGAGAAAAGGAATTCACCAGCTCGATATTGTACTTTACAGCTTCTTTTCTCAAAATTTCAGTCTCTTCCAGAGGAACATCCGGAACAACAAGCCCTGCAAGAAAGTGCAATGTAATTACACACATATTCACAAACCGAAGATTCAGAAGGGTTTCTTTCCATGGAAGTTTGTAAAGCAAGAAAAGTTACATTTAGAGTTGTAACATTATTCACTTTCAAATAGTCATCGACTCATCACGAAGGTGATGATATTAAGTTAGATAATCACATAATAGTGAAACAGACAGATAATCTTCCTATATGCCTCTGTCCTCTCTTTTCTCATTAAGAGACAAGAAGTTGTTCACAAAGTTCATGATTTGAGAAACAAGCTCATTAGAACCTCACACCAAGTGCACAAATAAATTTGAAACAAGGATTTTGGAATATCATGTTCATTAAGCAATGATATAATAGGCCCAAAACCATAATTATTGTTTAATACATACTTCAGCTTTGTACCGTGTTCTCTGGGGTAAAGAAAATGACAATTTAATGATGTTCTAGTAAATAAACCAACATTTCTATGCAAGTTAGAGCAAATGCCAACCCATAACATTTAGTACCAGACAATTGGCCTAATTGTCATGTTATCTTGAAAGTAGGGCAAAAAAAATTGATAAAAAAGTATTATCTAATTCATTAATTACCATGTACACCAGCATCTCTTATTGTCATCATGAAGTTCTCGACGCCACGCTTAAGAATTGGGTTATAGTATGAAAAAAGGGCAACAGGGCAAGACAGTTCAGGAATAACCTAAGCAGCAGGAAACAAAACAAAAATATGTCAACTTTCAATTCCATTAATGAGAAACTAAATGGCAGTGAAGCATATAGAGACAGAAGCTTATTCCAAAAGACATTTAATTTGATGATGCCGTGCATGAGAACTCAAGTTTCCTAACGAAAAAGAAGTGCAAGAGCTAATTTAAGTATACAC